TTTTGCTTCGCGCTTCGCCGGAGGCCTGCTTATATTAGATCCCAACTGAAATTTACTTGCGAGTTAGTTTTACCATTACGCGCCGCCTAGCGGCATCGTTGCAAACTATAGCACATACAGCAGAATTCAACAAGAATTACGGCAGATGCTTGCGTAAGAAGTAGAGCAGCAGAAATACAAATGATTTTGGCAGAAATAAACAAAACAAGGCAAATGAGAGCTCGTTCGCGACGATGGACGGGCGACAGTAATAAAATATTACAAATTGAATAAAATATATATAATAAAGTAAACGTTTTGGTCCTTGGTTTGGACCCTCCTCAGTACATATAGCTGGTCGAGTGAAATGCAGTGCGGTCACAAGTAGTCAAAAATGCAGTTATTCCGCTCTCCGATTATGAGAGTGTGGATCTCGTATCCTCAACGTGACTGTTACCTTAATTCCATAAAAAAAATAAATTAAACAAATATATATAGTCATACCTTAAAAAGTGATCACAAAAGTTACCTGACAGTCAAATTTATAAGATATACGACACCATCTCTCCGCGTAATACAATAAGTATTACGCGGCATTTTTTACTACTTGTGACCACTGCATTTCACTCGACCAGCTATATGTACTGAGGAGGGTCCAAATCAAGAACCGAAACGTTTACTTTATTATATATATTTTATTCAATTTGTAATATTTTATTACTGTCGCCCGTCCATCGTCGCGAACGAGATCTCATTTGCTTTGTTTTGTTTATTTATCGTTATTGAGAGCGTTATCGTTATTTTGGTAAAATATACCGTACATCTGATTTATCAATCAAACATTTTTCGAAATTCGTAACGCCAAAATGGACCGTACGTATAGCCTACATCTCACAGCACGAAGCTATAACAGTTTCACAATCTCCACTTAACTTACAGTAATTATTTCTATAAATATTTATAACATAAATTAAAAACAACTTTAATAATATTGATGATAATTATTTACACTTTATTTTAAATTATTTATTATAATCTTTTAGATACTTTTATTTTCCGGACATTATAATATTTACAAAATATTCAACGTATAAATTTTCAAAATATTTAATCTTTTTTATAAATATTTTATAAATATTTTGTGCTGTCTGGGAGTTTAGCGCGCTCGGCTGTTTTTTTTCTAACCGGCAGATGCTTACACGCTTTTTTCGCATTTCTGTCACTCGGATCTATACGGCAAAAACAACAATTTAAGCGACATTATACACTTGTGAAATTTTGCTGCAAATATGTTTCAAGAGTCTAACACACTCGACTGCTCTTTTTCTCACGGGCAGATGATTGCACGTTTTTTTCACGTTTCTGCCGGTCGAATCTGTACGGCAAAAACAACAATTTAAGCGACATACACTTGTGAAATTTTGCTGCAAATATGTTTCAAGCGTCTAGCACACTCGACTGCTCTTTTTCTCACGGGCAGATGTTTGCACGTTCTTTTCACGTTTCTGCCGGTTGGATCTGTACTCAAAAGATACTTCCATATTGTTTTCACATTTCTGCTACATGTTTACTTTTAACAAATAGTATAAAATTTCACAGTAGCTTCTTACAGCAGACTACTGCAATAGTGCAGTAAGTACTCGTTCAGTTACAGATATTATGCACTTTTGTCGCAATTTTGGACTGTTTTCTTGCGCACTTCTTCGGGACGCATCTGAGCTAGCAAACTGGTTACCAGGGTTTGATTGATAAATAATGTTCATTCATCAAATTACCGAGCTAACGTCACGGAGTCATACGACCAATGGCGTGAGAGTACGGTTTTTTCTATTTCTTAGGAAAACCATTGACCGCACCAAACGTTTTAATGACGATATTCGTGACCACCAAAAATTATGAATAATGCGTTAGAAGCTGAAGAAAAAGCAAGTCTCTTAAATGATTAGTTCTTTAATATGTAATCTGTTTATGCTTTTTATATTTATATTTGTAATAATTATTAAGTACAATACAATAGAAATAGTGTGTATAAAAAAACCTGCACATTGTTTCCTTTAAGTTTTTAAGAGTGCAAGTAGAAACTTGCACATTACTTTGTCATAATTTTTAAGTATGCAAATTATTTTTAAGTGTGCAAGTAGAAACCTGCACATTGCTTCCTTATTTATTTTTAAGTGTGCAAGTAGAAATCTGCACACTGCTTTCTCAAAGTTTTTAAGTGTGCAAGTAGAAACTTGCACATTGCTTTCTCATAGTTTTTAAGTGTGCAAGTGGAAACTTGCACATTGCTTTCTTATAGTTTTTAAGTGTGCAAGTAGAAACTTGCTCATTGCTTCTTCATAGTTTTTAAGTGTGCAAGTAGAAACTTGCACATTGGTTACTCATAGTTTTTAAGTGTGCAAGTAGAAACCTGCACATTGCTTTCTTATAGTTTTTAAGTGTGCAAGTAGAAACCTTTGCTCACAAAGCTTCCTCTATGAGGAAGCTTTTATTTCATCTGCTGTCAACGGCAAGTGGGGCGGCCGCCACTGGGGGGAATCTGCTTTTTCCGCAGCGCTGCCACAAAGCCCTGACGAGAGGGCTGCGTTCGTAAACCTTACCCTGCGGGGTAAGGTAAACTTCACGGGGAATAATCACGTGACCGTGTAGAGACATATTTACGTCAGAGAACACCTCAAAGTTTATGAACGATCCTGGAGTAAAATTTTATCGCATAATATAAAGTTATAGGTAATTATCGTCATATTATCTGAATCATTATCTTAGACAGTTATTTATAAAATACAAATTGTGGGCCTTACTTATGGATTTAAAACGTACGTAGTTTCAACTAAAGCAAAAATATGTAGAATATGTTACAAAAAATATAATATTTTAATGTTTTTTAGCGAACTGTTATACACGGCACGAAAAAAGACATGAGTAACGACAGAGAGAAGATTGCTAAAAAAGCAATCATTGTCATGGCAATATCAATGGGAAGGAACTTTTTGTCCAATTACGAATTATTTGATTCTGATTTATCATCTGACAGTGAAACTGAAATTTTGTTGACACTTTGCTCAAAGAAAAAGAAAAAGAAGGCCAGACGCATCCAAGACTACGTTGAACAAACCATTCATTATTTTACTAACAAACAATTTCAGTCAAACTTTAGAATAACGCGTGAAACTTTTGAATGTTTACTCACTATTATCGGTCCGAAAGTAGAAAATACTAGTGAAACTGGGAGACCAATGGTCCCAGCTGAGAAACAATTATTAGCAATAATATGGCTATTAGCGACGCCAGATTCTTATAGGTATGCTAAAATATATATTGTTTTTTATTTATACATAATATATGAATTTTCGCTCTTTCTGCACATCAAAAGCGAGTAATTCTTTGATTATAAGAGTGTATACTGTAAATTATTTATTTATTTATTTACTTATTTATATAATTAATTAATTAATTTATTTATTTATTTATTTATTTAAGCTATTACTATTATTTATTAAGTTGAAATTAATTTAAAATTGATGTTTTTTTATATGACAATAGATCGATCGGAGAAAGATTTGATTTAAGCAAATCTACATTGTTTTCCTGCTTTGTTCGCCTCTCGCTTTGTTTTCCTCTCGCCGTACACGCGCGCCTTTTATTTAATTATCTTACGAATTCCGACACGTGTGTGCTCCTGTAATCCTGACCTCGCGGATTACACGGCGATCCCAGCTGCAGCTCTCGCGGGGAATTTTTTTTTCTCTCTCTGTCTCTCTCTTTCTCTCTTTCCACGTGTTGCCGTGCCGAAACGTACATAAATCGTAAAATGCAATATGCCATAACGCTGCAAGCAATATGCGATGCCAATTTAAAATTCACAGATTGTTATACGGGATACCCTAGTTCAGTACACGACGCTAGGATTTTTAGAAATTCTGATATTTATCATTCGATACGTCAAAATCCAGAAAAGTATTTATGCAACACGTGCATGGAAAGTGCCCCATTACGCACGCTACGCGTGCGTGATAGACCACTTTCCAGGCACTTGCAACATAAAATAGGGAGTGTAAGCCGTGTGTAAAGATGAAAATTCCCGGGTGCGGTTACCGCACTCGCCTTCGGCTCGTGCGTAAACTCCGCACCCGGGAATTTTCATCTTACCTCACTTGTTACACAAATAACTATTTCCACATGATGAATTTATTTTAGCAGATAAAGCATATCCTACTTTGAAGTGGTGTATTACTCCATATATGAATCGAGGAAATTTAAGAAAACAGCAGGAGAAATTTAATACACTACATTCGCGGACAAGGCAAACAATTGAAAGAGCATTTGCTCTCTTATTTGGCCGATTTAGATGCCTAAAATATTTGGATATGAACAGAATCGATTTAATACCCGGAACAATACTTGCGTGCTGCGTTTTGCATAATATATGCCTAAATTTTGGTGATGATTTAATACGCGAATACGTACAAGAAGGTATGGACGCAATAGTGGAAAATCAACAGGAACAGATTATATACGAGAGTGAAAATAAAAAACGAGTTGGAAATGAACGTCGGGATGCACTGTGTGAGGAATTAAACCGTAATGATAATCGATTATAATATCCTTGTTTTATTAATTTGATTTTTGTTGAATATTGCGAATTCTTTGGGTACGACAAATAATATTTAGAAATATATAATGCACTATTAATACATATAAGAAAGTAGGATTATACGATTAAAAATAATATATACCGGGCTAACATAATATAGTTTTAATTTCGATCACCCGGGCGATTTTTAGGATTAACGCAGTCTACCGCATCTTTGGCACAGATAAAAAAAAATAAAAACTGACGGCTTTTCTTCCCCATCCAAGAAAAACGACAAATTATTAAATCAAATATTGTTTAAATCACTAACACTCAATATGTTTTTCTTGGATGCGTACTCTAAAAATCTTCTTATAATCTATATTGACTGATATAATTAATGTATGATTATATAAATTATATTTTATAAAATAAACAAACCGGACGAAACAAAATTAAACAATATCTCACAGCTTTACAGCTTTTTGAGCAATTTGTCCATCATGCTTTCATAAGAATCGATACTTGATTGAAGAATTTTCTTTTTTTCTTCATGCCTAGCCTTCTTCTCGTTTCTTCTCTTTCTTCAAGCATCACTTTCAGGTCGCTCAGAGTCATTGCATTCGCTCTTTTTCGCCCTTTTTTTTTATTATCTTCCGCATCACTAAGATTTATCTGTGTGACTGTAAAATAGCAATGTAACTCATAATAAATAAAAACAGATTCTTAACTATAAACACATTTATAAATAAATAATATTTGTCATACCTTCGGATTTATTGTCATCTCGTGATGAGCTTGCTATAGCAACAGGAGTAACATTGGGCTTATTTCCAAACAGTTCGTCAAGTTCCTCGAAGTTTTCACATTTTACTGGTGCTGCACCAGTACTTTTGGGACCCATATTGTCTATTTTTTTAAAGTACTTCTTCTTCATATATTTCATTTTTTCTTTGCATTGTGCTGCGACAAAATTATAGCCTTCGTGTTTCATATCGCAGGCAATTTTAGCCCAGATATCGTCCTTTTTTATGCAATTGGAATTAAAATCATCTTTGTATTTCTTGTACAAGTATAGGAGCATTGCTCTACTTTTATCCGTCCACAAGCTTTTCATTCCTTTATCCGGAGTTCTTCCATTACTTTCTTCTAAGACTCTCGGTTTCGTATTCTCATCAGTTTTCTCTAATTGTAAGTTAGAAGTGAATGTCGTACAGCGAGACGAATTGGCTGCATCACTGAGATTTATATGTGTGACTGTAAAATAGCAATGTAACTTATAATACATATAAAAACAGATTCTTAACTAAACACATTTATAAACTAGTAATATTTGTCATACCTTCGGACTTATTGTCATCTCGTGATGAACTTGTTATCGCGACATCAATATCTTTTTCGGGTAACATAATTTCATATCCATACGGTTGCAGACAAGTTTCAATGATGTTCTCAGTCAAAGAGACAAAATCAATTTTACCTGCTGTAAAAATATCGTTTAAAAGGGTTATATTACTTGTTGTATTAATTGTAAACATTTTAACAATTAACTTCGAATTTCCATAAAGCAAGGAAGTAGATATTAAGCATAAAAAAGCGTGTTTGAAAACAGAATTCGTCTAGCCCATGTCTATTGAGATACGACAAAGGGCAATGTAGATACACCAAACCTCTAATATATATTTTGTTAACTCACTTATTTTGTCGCGTAATAATACTTTTGACATCTCTGGATCAAAAATTGGAACTCCACCGGCGCCTTCTACAACTTCGTACAAAGTTTGGGATTGTGATCCACATTTTATCGCAGACATGTTTTCGAACTTCTTATATTCTTTCTCGTGACCTCGTGTAATACACGTGTAATACGCAAAAGTGCGTTTCTGCGCATGACAGGTAAACTCTACCTCAGTCGCGAGCAGGGTACGTTGAGGAATGCCCTGGGTAATTCCTCAAGGCTTTCTGAACGCTAGTAGGTAAAGGTAGCTTTTCCCCCGATGACTTTCTGAACGGGTTTAGAGGCATTTTTACTCTGTGGGTAACGTTTACGAACGCAGCCTAGGAGGGTCGCGGTGGTGTGCGCAGAAGGGTCTGTGCGTGATCTTGCCTGGAGCCGCCGTCGGTGCAGATCTTGGTAGTAGTAGTTATTTGTTTTGGCTTCCTCATAGAGGAAGCTTTGTGAGCAAAGGTTTCTACTTGCACACTTAAAAACTATAAGGAAGCAATGTGCAGGTTTCTACTTGCACACTTAAAAACTATGAGTAAGCAATGTACAAGTTTCTACTTGCACACTTAAAAACTATGAAGAAGCAATAAGCAAGTTTCTACTTGCACACTTAAAAACTATAAGAAAGCAATGTGCAAGTTTCCACTTGCACACTTAAAATTATAAGAAAGTAATGTGCAAGTTTCTACTTGCACACTTAAAAACTTTGAGAAAGCAATGTGCAGGTTTCTACTTGCACACTTAAAAATAAATAAGGAAGCAATGTGCAGTTTTCTACTTGCACACTTAAAAATAATTTGCATACTTAAAAATTATGACAAAGTAATGTGCAAGTTTCTACTTGCTCTCTTAAAAACTTAAAGGAAGCAATGTGCAGGTTTCTACTTGCACACTTAAGAACTATGAGGAAGCAATGTGCAAGTTTCTACTTGCACATTTAAGAATTATGAGGAAGCAATGTGCAAGTTTTTACTTGTACACCTAAGAACTATGAGGAAGCAATGTGCAAGTTTCTACTTGCACACTTTTTTATTATCTTAAAACATTATTTTTTAAAGTCTCATTTATTGAGACTTGAGATGTTCTAACTGTTCCTCTTAGAAAGAGATAGTGAGAATAGTGAGTAAATTAAGATTCAAACTTAACCGACATTTGTAAAATTACGACAATAGATTTTCTCGTCACCTTTGAGATACTATTGTTGACGCGTTTTTTTAAAAGTGGTTTCCCCTGTAGGCCTAATCCACTAAAAAATAATATTAGGATGTAATCAAATTTTTTTATGATTATAACTATAATATTGAATTTATTTGTTAAAGAAGAAAATAAAAATATATATATATTATTATACATCAAGAGACACGGTAGTGTCTCGCGCCAAGTACACGCGGAGCGAGACCGACCGTGACTCTTTTACGCGACGCGACGGGTTGCGAGTACCCGAGATGTTGAGATCTCGATAACGAGTGAACGAATCAAGTTCTAAGTAGGCTTGATCGATAGCTTGGGGTCCAATTAGGGGGGGGGGGGGTTTTCTCATAATATTCCGCTACGTGCCCTACGAGCGGAGATATTGCGACGCAAAGTCCAAATGTGAAAATTTATTTTTAAGATACTTCTACTACTTCTAACGCCGACGTCTTATGTGATGACGTCATAATCAGAAACGTCCTTTTCACTTTCCGACGCTGGCGGCGCAGGTATCGCCAGTTTCGATATCGCGCGTGTTTGAGATCGCAACAATTAGCATCGCGACGAAGTCGCGTTCGGCTGCATGTCAGCACATGCACGTTTGCAGTAAATTAATATTCGCGTAAAATGTCGCATAAGAATGGTCACGGGAATATTCGGTATAGCATGGATCTTTCGGGATTAGCTTTCTAGAAACTTTAACATTTTTATCAATAATAAAGTCAAACAACAACGCTAGAACAAAGGAACGATCCATGCTATACACAAAGCACTCGAAAACAGGTGACGACCCCGTCGGGTCGCCACGTGAAACCGGTGACGTCAGCTCCATGACGCGGGACTCCGACGGCCAATCACCCTCCCGAAATTCTGAGAAATCTGCAGGGAGGGAGTATAGAACACCGCTAGTATTTCGATACAACCGCTTTGCTTTACCGCTCATCACCGCTTTTCGCACTCGCTTGCTTAATTGCTATATCGCCGCTTTCGCCGTGCTAGACTCTGTGCGCGCTCACGGCATTTTGCCTGAAAAAGAAACTCGTGTAAATAAGTGTACATATTGAACATTAAACTTTGTAGTTCTGTACTTGCTGTTCCTCTCCGTTTCTTTTGTGGTCGTCCTCTACCGCGCGCTATCTCGCGCTACCGCGCGCTCTCGAACATTTTTGGTCCTTCGAGCCGGATCATACCGGCAACCGCAACCTCGGGAGTGCTTCCGCAAAGAACGACCGCAGTCATGAACATGGATCAGAGCGCCTTGCTGAGCAGTCAGCACGACATCCACGGCCGCATCTCCCGTTCCATGGACAACCTCAGGAAGCTGGGTGTAGATAAACTCACCCTCGACGCTGTGAGCACCCGCATCCGCATTCTCGACGACCTGTGGGCAAAATTCGAGTCAAACCATGATCTCATTCGGGCATGTTACGGGCAACTCTACAACGAGAGTGAGTACGCAAAGACAGATTTTGTCGACACTGTTGAGAACACTTACGTGCATCAGCATAGTTTGCTTACCGGTCTCGCGAATAAATTGAAACCCGCGACGCCCAGAGTGCCAGCCGGGCCGGAGCAGAACAACGAACACTCTCCAAAGACCTCGTTGCTCCGCATTACGCTGCGCGATTTCTCAGGCGCGTATGAAGACTTGCCGTCGTTTCGTGACCTCTTCCAGTCGGTCATCGGCAAAAACTCAGCCATTTCAAATGTTGAGCGCTTCCACTACCTTCGGTCGTGCGTGAAAGGCACAGCTGAAAAATTAATTCGATCGTTAAACGTAACCGGAGACAATTACGAACGCGCATGGACGATCTTAGACAAGCATTACGAAAATAAAAGGGAGTTGATACGCTCCAACTTTGCAACGTTCACCGCCGTCGCTAAGATG